GGTTTGATATACTCCCACCCACGGAAGAGAAACAGTAACTATTAATCTAATTTCAAAACTGAAATCATGACAATTTGAGAGCTTTCTGAAATTGAAGTGGTGAAACTGGTGTTATTGAACTTTTTCAGGACTAGATTTTAAAAAATGTCTTAAATTGAGGTATAATTACATACAATAAAATGCACAGATATTTTATTGTGGGAAATTTTATACTTTATTGGAATAGTTTATCTTCCTTAAGGTTTGGTGGCATTTACATACAGAACCAAAGTTGAATAGTTCCTTTTTTTTTATTGTTGAAAGTATTACAGATGTCCTCCTTTTTTCCCCTTTGAACCCTTTCTTCCCACTCCCACCCCGCTCCTGTTTTCCCCAACCTAATGTCTGTGTCCACTGGTTGTGCATATATGCATATAAGTTCTTTGGTTTATCTCTTTCCACCGCTCCTGCCCCCAATCCTTCTGAGGTTTGTTAGTCTGTTTCCTACTTCCATGACTCTGGATCTCTTTTGGTCAACAGCTTATTTTGTTCATTATGTTCCACAAATAAGTGAGACCATGTGGTACTGTCTTTCTCTGACTGGCTTATTTTGCTCAGCATAGCACTCTCCAGGTCCCTCCAGGTCATCTCGAAGGGTAAGAGATCTATCTTTCTTACAGCTGCCTAGTACTCCATTGTGTATATGTACCACAGCTTTTTTATCCATTCATCTACTGACGGGCACTTGGACTGTTTTCAGATCTTAGCTATAGTAAGTAGTGCTGTTATGAACACAAGGGTGTGTATATTCTTCCTGATTGGTGTTTCAGGCTTCTTAGGGTATATTCCCAGCAGTGGGATCACTGGGTCAAATGGCAGTTCCATTTTTAATTTTTGAGGAGACACCATATTGTTTTCCATAGTGGCTGCACCAGCCTGCATTCCCACCAGCAGTGTACTAGAGTCCCCTTTTCTCCACACCCTCGCCAGCACTTGTTGTTTGATGATTTGTTGATGGCAGCCATTCTGGCAGGTGTGAGGTGGTATCTCATAGTCATTTTCATTTGAATCTCTGATGATTAGAGATGTTGAGCATTTAAGTGTAGAGCTTAATAGATTTTGACAAATGCTTACACTCATGTAATCAACACTCCAATCAAGAGAGAATATTTCTATCATCCTAGAAAGTTCTCGTGGTCCTTTTCCACTCAACCCCAATTTTCTGTCTTCCCTCCACCAGGCAAAAAGCACTGCTCTGATTTTCATTCTTTTGATGAGTTTTGGGGTCCCACTTTTAGGAAATGAACATTGAATTCATGCCATTTTGCCTGCAGCCCTGAAGAGTTCTTTGCAGAATTCCCCTCCCCCTTTAGGACAACAAGTGTTAGCTGAGACTTGTTCTAGATCCATCTGGGCCGCCTTCCAGGGACTCACTCTTAGCTCCAGTACAGACACGTGCAGGTTTGAAGGAATTCACGTATGTAGGTTATGAAGGCCAACTCAAAATCCTCAATATGGGTATGAAAATAACTCTTCTTTCTGGAAAATAAAGCTGTTTTATGCCCGGCTGGTGTGGCTCAGTGATTGAGTGTCGAACCAGGGACTGAAGGGTCTGGTTCGATTCCCAGTCAGGGCACATGCCCAGGTCATGGGCCCGATCCCCTGTGGGGGACTTGCAGGAGGCGGCCAGTCGATGTTCTCTCTCACTGATGTTTTTCTCTCTCTCCCTCTCCCTTCCTCTCTCTCTTAAATCAATAAAGAAAAAAAAATTTTTTTAAAGCTGCTTTCTCCAAAACACCTGCCTTCTTGCCTCTCTGCAGCTAACTGCTCCGTCAGGGAAGCTGCCTTGTTTCTGTGGGAAGAATTGCTTGAGCCCTTCAAAGTAACATATGCACCAACTTCCAACTGGAAGCTGTTTCCCTTCCTACTCGGTGGGGCTCCTCTGCAGGCTCACCCGACTCCCCCAGAAAGGCTATTTCAAAAATAGCCTTCCTTGCCCTGGCCGGTTTGGCTCAGCGGTTAGAGCGTCGGCCTGCGGTCTGGAGAGACCCGGGTTCGGTTCCCGCTAAGGGCACATACCTCGGTTGCAGTTTGTCCCCGGCCCTGGTCGGTTGTGCGGGTGGCAGCCACTCGATGTGTTCCTTTCACATCGATGTTTCTCTCTCTCTCTGTTCCTCTCTCTCCCTCCCACTCTACCTGAACAAAAAAATGGAAAAATGTCCTCTGGTGAGGATTAAAAAAAAAAAAAATAGCCTTCCTTGAAAGTGTTGAGAGAAAAATCAAATCACACAATTCATAACTTTTAGGTTTCTGAAAACTTTGTCATTATAAATAACACAACGGCTTAGGAACATTTATATCTCAAAAACAATAGTATTCGTTGAAATATATTTTGAATGTCTCCTAACATATATTTCCTTTAGCATAGAGGACTGATTTCTTGCTTTTTCTTAACAGGTGAAAATATTGCATCTGCTTCTGTTTCTCTCCAGCCAATAATTTCATACATTTTCTTGAGAAGGATTGTCTCCATGACCGTGAATACTGGAGCTATTTCAATGTAAACCTATAATCCATATATAGGAATTCTACTGTGAATTGTGTGAAAGTGGAGAAAAAAATAATATGTCTGATAAGATTGTGCACGTTTTTGTATTTTGTGGTAGACTATGCCAAGACATAGTTAAATTTTATATGCTCTAGATTTTATATGCTCTAAATTTTGTTCCTTCCAGATTAAAAGTAAATTCTTTAAAAAATTTTTTTATTTATTAATTTGTTTTTGTTACAGATGTTTCTCATTTTTCCCCCATTGACACCCTCCTCCCCATTCCCCACTCCCCATCCCCAGCTTTGTTGTCTCTGTTCATTGGTCATGCAAACATGCATGTAAGTTCTGTGGTTTATCTCTCCCCTCCCAACACCCCTCCTCTGAGGCTTGTCAGCCTGTACCCCACCTCCATGTCTCTGGGTTAATTTTGTTCAGCAATTTGTTTAGTTCATTATATTCCACAAATAAGTGAGATCATGTGATATTTGTCTTTCTCTGCTTGGCTTGTTTTGCTTAGGATAATACTTTCCAGGTCCCTCCATGTCATCTCAAAGGAAAAGAGATCTTTCTTTCTTACAGCTGCGTAGTATTCCATTGTGTATATGTACCACAGCTTTTTATCCATTCGTCTACCGATGGACACTTGGGCTGTTTCCAGATCTTAGCTATTGTAAATAGTACTGCTATGAACATGGGGGTACATATATTCTTTCTGATTGGTGTTTCAGGCTTCTTAGGGTACATTCCTAGAAGTGGGATCACTGGGTCAAAAGTAAATTTTTCCTATAAGGAAAATATCCTGGCACTCACTGTACTGTGTGGTAGCTGAGAATTTCTTTCCCACCCAAGGGAGAGCTGAAAGCAGCCCCCACCCCTCCCTGAGCACACATTGTGCCGCTAGAGCCGGGAGATGCCCACTCATCAAGGAAATGTACACACATTCTCTGGTGGGCAAGTGAGAAAGATTTCTAAAGCTACAAATGGTGTTCCACAGAACATGAAAGGGGTAAAAAGAAAAGCCTTTTCTAAATTTATTGATTGATAAATTCTTTCCACCTAAAGATGGTGCCTTCAGCAGACACACCAAAAAATAAAAAATAAAAAACTTAACTAAAAACTGTTGTATTTTCCATAACAGCTTGAAGCAAGCAGATGGCACGGGACAAGAACAGTGTGGGATCCACAGAAAGGAATTTTGAGAGGACTATTACGGGGACGGTCCTCTGGGTCCCACTGTGAGATTCGAGTAGCTCCGTAGAACAAAGCTGGAAATAAGAAGGAATCTATAGACTTTCTCTGCATGTACCATATACCGTAAAAAATGAAGTATTTACAATGGGTTCTGAGAGCAGAATGGATTCAGTTATTCTCAAGAAACCTTTTATTTGTCCTCAACTATTTCTTAGAGACTTACACTCTAAGTGTCCTTATAGAATTGCTTGTGCCATTTGAGTTTCTCTCAGCTCACTGTCTCCAAGTCCTCGGTCATCACTCACGTCTGGCCATCACCATGGCCTTCCACTCAGACACACCCACAACCCAGCAGGGAATCACCTCCCACCCACCCAGCTGTCACTGACCTCCGGCCCGGGGGCTTCCTTGTGCACTTAGTTAGACAAGTCATGGAATCAGCAGGGATCCCCAGGAATGCCCAAACATTGCATATGAGAAGGTTAACATCACACAGTGCAGTCCTTCGGCCACAGGAGATCTGGGTGGGAATAAATTCTTCCCCTTCTCCCTGCAGATGGACTGAGGTTAGAAGCAGTCATTTATAGGGGGAAGCCTTCACTTGTGCTCATGCTAAGTGGTGGCCAGGTCAGCGACAGCCTCACACTGCCCTCTGTCCTGTCCTGACTCCCCCATTCTTCCCCATCCCTGCTCCTCCAGATGACATGTCGTGAGAAAGTAGTAACATAGGGTTCTCGGTGTCTATTAGAATGAAGAGTCTAGTTCCAAGAGGAACAAAGAAGTAAACCTTACACACTTATATTTCAACAAGGCTCATCTCTGCCAGAATGTGATGTGTCAATTTCAGCTTCTACACACGGTAACTTTTTAAAAAAATCCTCACCTGAGGGCATTTTTCCTTTATCTTCAGATAGAAGGGAGGGAAGGAAAGAAGAGAGAGAGAGAGAGATACATTGATGTGAGAGATACAACAGGTTGCCTCCCGCACAACTTGACCAGGGTCATGATCAAACTACAACCAAGGTATGTGCCGTTAACTGGAATCAAACCCACGACTCTTTGTTCCATGGGCCGATGCTCGAACTGCTGAGCCAAACCAACCAGGGCCACACAGTAACTTTTGATCCTATTTCAGTTCTACAGAGTAGGCATTACTATTTTCAGACAGTAGAGACCCCCTGAATTTCACCGTACTGCTGAGCTGTGGAATTGGGGCTTGAATCTGATTTTTTAAAATTTAATCTCACATGCTTTTCCACTATCGTAGATTATGGTAAGAGATAGCCATCCATTTATTAAAAATAATGCAAGTTCAGTCTGGCTGGTGTGGCTTAGTGGGGTGGGTGTTGTCCCGTGTGCCAGGAAGTTGAGGTTCACATGCCTGGGTTTCAGGCTCCATCACCAGTAGGGGGCATGCAGGAGGCAGCCAATTGATGTTTCTCTGGAGCCATTGATGTTTCTATCTCTGTCTTCCTCTCTCTGAAATCAATAAAAAACATATTTTAAAAAGTGAAGACACTTCAAAGGTAGAAAACCCTCTCCCAAGTCCTTTATCTTTCATCTCATGCATGTTCTTTCTATATCTGTTTAGACCAAGAATCTGTATTTGCCTCATACAGAAAATGATTAAGTTTAGAGCAATGGTATTCCCAACAATGAGGTAAGATTTATACATTAATTGTATGTAATAATTTATATAACATACAGAATACATCATGTTCTTTCATAAGAGAAGAGTTATTTAATAGTAAAGTATTCTATGACTGTTTAAATAAAAAGCTCCTCATCATGCAGTAAAAATTAAAAATAGTGGTAAATTGTGCAACCCATTTTTATTTATATTTCTCATCTATAAAATCCTGATTACTACCATGAACTATGCATCATTAAAATCCCAGTGATAACTAAACAGTTAAAATAAGCCTCATTTTTTCCCCCACATTGCAAAGCAGTCTCTCCTGATAAATGTTTAGTTCTTGGTTTTAAAGTTTAAATTCCTACCAACTCTCTCTTTTGATTGCTAGTTAAATTATATTAACATCTGACACAGACTGTTCCTTTCAATTTCCTATCCAATCATTTCCCTATCACTTTTAACCTTGAAAACTATTGCCCTAAAATTAACTTGACTTCAAAACACTGTGGCTGTGTTATCTAATTTTCGTAGGACCAAAAGTTTTGCTGTGACAAAGGTCAAGCTTTTAACAGAATCTCATTGGAGTTGAATTTAACTTTTCTTTCAAATATTACTTTCTTCCCCTTTGATCAGCTTGAGGTTCTAATTTATATTCAGGCAACTTTTTCCTACACCCATGTGTGATTTTTAGACCACTATGTGCTGTGTTGAAATGATCCCAGGCCTAGAAGTGGACTTTTATTCTGCACACTAATAACTCAGCTTCACCAAGTGACCGTACTACTTACCCAGGAATTCAGATCCTGAAACTTTCTAGAAAGAGACTGTCCAGAGGACCCCATAAACTTTTAACATACCACCCAGAGAATGGGTAGAAGCATTTTGCATTTCTCTCGGGGTACAAATTTTTGTTGATACAGCAAACATCCTATCCAGCAAAGCGTAACTTCCACAGTGACATCTCCACCCTCACTCGCGTACCTTAGGCCCATTAGGATGCTCATGCTTTGGTATTTGCGGCGGTGGTCAACCATTCCCCTGCAGGTCCAAACACATCTAGCTCACTGGAGAGCTGGTTGAAAAGCAAGGATGTTCTAGGGAAAAAAAGATGATATTGCGGAAAATACAGTGGAGGACCGAAAAATGGCGGCGGAGTGAACGGAGCTACACAGACCGTCTCCCAGAACCAAACTGGAATTACAACTATAACACAGACAAATCGACGGGAAAAACCAACAGAAAAGCAGCTTGCGAGGACCATACAACGAGGGACACTGACTCCATCCCGGTAGGCTTGCGAAGGCGCGAGACGGGGCTGGGAGCCCAAGGTCGGCAGCTCGGCAGCGGCCTCAGCTGGGAGCGGCGCCCTCGGGTCACACTCCCAGGCGGCCCCACAGCGCAGCCGGGACAGAGGCTGAAACAGCCACAGCCACTCACCTTGGGCTCCGGCAGAGGGAGGGCAGACTGGACTGGAACTGTGTCGGGACACTCGGGGTTTGGAGGGCTCTCGGAGCTTTGGCTGAGTGCAGCCACTCAGGACGGTGGCCACATTGCTTCTTCCCAGGGCTCTGAGAGAGGCAGCAGCCCCTCCCTCGGAGATCCAACCCCACCCTGTGGGCCATTGAAGTGCTAATTGAGGCTCACTAAGGACCAGCATCTGCCCCACCCTCCTGAAAGCCCCTTGGCTGAGCACCAGAGGGAGTTTTTCAATCAACTGACAACCCAAAACTCATCAATTAACCTAGACTGCTAGCTTCCAGGCAAAAAGCTAGAGGATAACAGTACGTTTCCTGGGCTGGCAGCTTTAACCAGGAAAGTAAGACTTGACAGTGGTGTTCAACGCGGGTCCTCCCTCGCTCATCTAAACACAGGAGAGGGAGCCACAAACAGCAGAACACCAACACCCACAGGGAGAACTTGACAGGCTCCAAAGCCCAGAGTGATAGCTAAAATGGTGAAACACAGAAACAGAAGCCAAATGAAAGAGCAAACCACCTCCACCGAAGATGAGATCAATGTGGAGCAATTAGGCATGTTAACAGAGCTAGAATTCAGAGCCATGATCTTGAGGAAGCTGAACAGCATGAGTAAGGACATAGAGACACTGAAAATAAGCCAAATGGAAATTAAAAACCAACAAGAAGAGATAAAAAATGACATATCCGAAATGAAAAACACATTGGAAGGTTTAAAAAGCAGAGTAGGGGAAGCTGAGGACCGGATCAGCGAATTAGAAGACAGGGTAGAAAAAATCAACCAATCAGAAAAACAAAAGGAAAAAACTATTAAAAAACAGGAAGACAGCTTAAGAGAACTATGGGACAACTGGAAACGTAATAATATTCGCATCATAGGAGTCCCCGAAGAAGAAGAAAAGGAGCAAGGGATAGAGAATATATTCAAAAAAATAGTGAGAGAAAACTTCCCTAATTTGGTGAAGGAAGAAGGCATTCAAGTTCAAGAAGCACAGAGAGTCCCAAGTAAGAAGAACCCAAACAGGCCCACACCAAGACACATAGTAATTAAAATGCCACAAATTAAAGACAAAGAGAGAATCCTAAAAGCAGCAAGAGATAAGCAACAGGTTACCTACAAAGGGAACCCCATAAGGCTCTCAGCTGACTTCTCACAAGAAACACTACAGGCCAGAAGGGAATGGCATGAAGTAATCAAAGTCATGAAAAACAAGAATCTGAATCCAAGACTACTCTACCCAGCAAGGCTATCATTCAAAATAGAAGATCAAATAAAGAGCTTCCCAGACAAAAAAAAGCTAAGGGAATACATTAGCACCAAACCAGCACTGCAAGAAATGTTAAAAGGACTGCTGTAATTAGCAGTAGAAATGGGAACAAAAATAGAACCACACTAAACAAAAATGGCAATAAATAAGTACATATCAATAATCACCTTAAACGTAAATGGACTGAATGCTCCCATAAAGAGACACAGAGTAGCTGATTGGATAAGAAAGCATGACTCATCTATATGTTGTTTACAAGAGACCCATCTCTCAACAAAAGACTCACATAGGTTGAAAGTGAAGGGATGGAAAAAAATTTTCCAAGCAAATGGAAAGCAAAAAAAAGCTGGGGTAGCAATTCTCATATCTGATAAAATAGATTTCAAAATGAAGACCATAACTAGAGACAAAGACGGCCACTACATAATATTGAAAGGATCTATCCAACAGGAAGATATAACCTTGATAAACATATATGCACCCAATATAGGAGCACCAAAATATATTAAAAATCTTCTGGAGGACTTCCAAGGAGAAATCGACAACAATACAATCATAGCTGGGGACTTCAACACCCCGTTGACAGCACTGGATAGATCCTCTAGGCAAAAAATTAGCAAGGAAACAGAGACTCTAAATGAAGCACTAGACCAAATGGATTTAATAGATATCTACAGAGAATTACACCCCAAAACTACAGAATACACATTCTTCTCAAGTGCACATGGGACATTCTCAAAGATAGACCACATGATAGGACACAAACTAAATCTCTACAAGTTCAAGAAGATTGAAATCATATCAAGCATCTTCTCAGATCACAATGGCATGAAACTAGAAATCAACTGCAACAAGAACATGCAAAGACATTTCAACACATGGAGGCTAAATAGCATGTTATTAAACAATGAATGGGTCACCGAGGAGATCAAGGAAGAAATCAAAAACTTCCTGGAAACCAATGAAAATGAACACACAACAACACAAAATCTATGGGATGCAGCGAAAGCAGTTCTGAGAGGGAAGTTCATAGCACTACAGGCCTACCTCAAAAAAACAAGAAAAATTTCTAATTGATTGTCTAACCTCACAACTTAAACAATTAGAAAGCAAACAAAAAGAAAACCCCAGAGCAAGTAGAAGGAAGGAAATAGTAAGGATCAGAGCAGAAATAAATGACATAGAGACCAAAAAAACAATTCAAAGGATCAATGAAACAAAGAGCTGGTTTTTCGAAAAGATAAACAAGATTGATGGACCCTTAGCTAGACTCACCAAGAAACAAAGAGAGAGAACCCAAATACACAAAATCAGAAATGAAAGAGGAGAAGTAACAACCAGCACCACGGAAATACAAAAGATCGTTAACAACTACTATGAACAACTATATGGCAACAAATTCGACAATCTCAGCGAAATGGACAAATTTCTAGAAACACACAGTCTCCCAAAACTATTCCCGGAAGAGATAGAAAACTTGAACAGACCAATAACAACTAAGGAAATTGAAGAGGTAATCAAGACTCTCCCAGCAAACAAAAGCCCAGGCCCAGATGGTTTCACGGGGGAGTTTTACCGAACATTCAAAAAAGAACTAACACCCATTCTCCTCAAACTATTTCAAAAAATTCAAGAAGAAGGAAGACTTCCAAACACGTTCTATGAGGCCAGCATAATTCTAATTCCAAAACCAGAAAAAGACACTACGAAGAAAGAAAACTACAGGCCAATATCCCTGATGAACATAGATGCCAAAATCCTGAACAAAATACTAGCAAATCGGATCCAGAAATACATCAAAAAAATTATTCACCACGACCAAGTGGGATTCATTCCAGGGATGCAAGGCTGGTACAATATTCGCAAATCAATAAACGTGATACACCACATAAACAAAATGAAGAATAAAAACCACATGATCATATCAATAGATGCTGAAAAAGCATTCGACAAAATCCAGCATCCATTTCTGATAAAAACGCTCAGCAATGTAGGAATAGAGGGATCATATCTCGACATAATAAAGGCCATATATGAAAGACCTACAGCCAACATCATACTCAATGGACAGAAACTAAAAACATTTCCATTAAGAACAGGAACAAGACAGGGATGTCCACTTTCGCCACTCTTGTTTAACATTGTACTGGAAGTCTTAGCCACAGCAATCAGACATGAAGAAAAAATAAAAGGGATCCAAATTGGAAAGGAGGAAGTGAAACTGTCATTATTTGCAGATGACATGATATTGTACATAGAAAACCCTAAAGACTCCATCAAAAATCTATTAGACTTAATAAATGAATTTGGCAAAGTAGCAGGATACAAAATTAACGTCAAGAAATCGACGGCATTCTTGTACATCAATGATGAACTCACAGAAAGAGAAACTGAAAAAACAATCCCATTTACCATCGCTCCAAAAAAATTACGATACCTAGGAATAAACTTAACCAAAGAAGTAAAGGACCTATTTGCAGAAAACTACAGGTCATTGAAAAAGAAATAGAGGAAGATATAAAAAGTGGAAGCACATACCCTGTTCATGGATTGGAAGAATTAACATAATTAAAATGTCCATACTACCCAAAGCAATCTATAGATTCAATGCAATCCCCATCAAAATACCAACGACATATTTCATAGAACTAGAACAAATACTTCAAAAGTTCATATGGAACCAAAAAAGACCCCGAATAGCCACAGCAATCTTGAAAAAGAAGAACAAAGTTGGAGGGATCACATTACCAGATATCAGGTTATACTACAAAGCGACTGTAACCAAAACAGCCTGGTACTGGCACAAGAACAGGCATATAGACCAGTGGAACAGAACTGAAAACCCAGAAATGGACCCAAGGCAATACGCTCAATTAATATTTGACAAAGGTGGCAAGAGCATACAGTGGAGTAAAGACAGCCTCTTTAATAAATGGTGTTGGGAAAATTGGACAGCTACATGCAAAAAAATGAAACTCGACCATCAACTTACACCATACACAAAAATAAACTCAAAATGGATAAAAGACTTAAATGTGACCCGTGAATCCATAAAAATTCTAGAAGAAAATGTAGGCAACAAAATTTCGGACATCATACGGAGCAGAATTTTCACTGATACATCACCTAAGGCAACAGAAATAAAGGAGAAAATGAACACATGGGACTACATCAAACTAAAAAGCTTCTGCACAGCAAAAGAAACGATCATCAAAATGGAAAGGCAACCCACTGTATGGGAGAACATCATTGCCAATGATGTATCAGATAAGGGGTTAATTTCCAATATATACAGAGAGCTCACACAACTCCACAAAAGGAAGACAAAGAACCCAATTAAAAAATGGGCAG